ATGATATAAGAAAGTGCAATCTGAAAAGCACTTCCCACAGGCTTGCAACAACTAAACCAGATCATATATATATATATATATATATATATATATATATATATATATATATATCTACTACTACTTAAAAAATAAGAGGTGCTTCCATCGTCCGTCAAAAAAACCGGGTGAAAAAAAACCGGAACGAATCCGATTCATCAACGCGGTAAAAGAAAAATCGGGAAAAAAAAAGAATATGTCCGATTCCACAAAAATAGGAAACAAACTCCCATCTGTTATACCAAGTCCTATTCGGTTAGCATCACCAGGAGAACCGACACCATTCACAGAGAGAGAGAGAAAGAGACGACGCCGCCACCTCTCCCGCCCCCGTCGGACCGCAGCCGCCTCCATGCCGCCGAATCTGGCGGAGGCGAGGTCCGGCCCGCCGCCCCTCCCACCCCCGCCGGGCTGCAGCTGCCTCCACACCGCCGGATCTGGCGGAGGCGAGGCCCAACCAGCGTTCCATGACGTCCGCCACCACCACCACTGCCGCACCTCCCCACCATGCACAGAGAGAGAGAGAAAGAGACGACGCCGCCGCCTCTCCTGCCCTCGCCGGACCACAGCCGCTTCCATGCCGCCAGATCTGGCGGAGGCGAGGTCCGGCCCGCCGCCCCTCCCGCTCCCGCCGGGCCGCAGCCGCCTCCACGCCGCCGTTGTTCGGGGAGAGGGCGCCGCGCCGTTGGTTGTGGGGGAGGGCGCCGCCGCCGCCGCTCGGGGGCGCGGAGGGGAGGGCGGCGATGTGAGATGGGAGGGAGGGAAATGGGCTAGGGTTTCGGCGGCTGAGGAGAAGGAGGGGTTTTGTTTCCCCGATATCGACGCTCGGCCGTCCGATCAAAACCCTAAAGATCGGACGATCGGTGTCGTCCAGGCCGAAATCAGCCCAAGAGGGATCGAGAGTGAGGCCACTTTTCTGGCCCAAGCCCAGGTTGTGGCCTGGGGAGGGGAAGTGCACTTGCGCGTGCACAAAAGGCCGTGGACCGACCGGCAAGGGCCGGAAATAAGTCTATTTTAGGTCCCTCAGGCCCAAAAAAAGAGAATAAGTTCATTTTTAGTGCTCATTTTTTCAGAAGCATTACAATTATAAGTTATTGAATGTGTTTATTTCGAAGCAAACCTAAAAGGAAGTATTTTCTTTCTTTTTCCAAGTAAATAATTGTTAAATGACGTTTGTATTAATAAAATTAACAATTAAGCTCTGAAAAATTCAAATATAATTTCAAAGAGCGTAACTAATCATGGAGAATTTAAAAAAAAAAATTAAATTTAACCATGTCATTTTATTTCTCACACTTGCTTTACTTGTAAATTTATTTAATTATACACATACCTACTTAAAAATACCAAATATTTCAGCGAATTTGTATTTTAATTAATTGCATATTTTTCTAATCTGTACGCTTCACATTGTAACACACAGGCACTTTTGCTAGACCAAACAACACTTTTGGTCAATATACACACTCCGTAATCACCCGGTGCAACGCACGGGCACTTTTGCTAGTATATATATATATATATATATATATATATATATATATATATATATATATATATATATATATATATGTAATGAAGTTAGCAGCAGGAAAGGGTAAACAACCTCGAGAACTTGCATCATATAATTGTTAAAACTCCTTAAGTTGTCCTTTTGTGCTTCTTGAATGGATGAGACGATTGCCATTTCATGAAGCTGAAAACACATGACATGTTTCAGGATATATTCCATGAAATTAGGAGAAAATGCATGTAAAAGATGTATGACGGTATGAAGTGTGCACCTGCTGCAGGTACTCCTCGACAGTAGTTGCTTCAGATGGAAAAACATCCTCAAATGTGGTCTACAAAACCTCAATTTTAATCACTATGATGTATATTCAAGTAGTCTAGCAAGATAGAGTAGAAAACAGAAAATATACAATAAGAAGCTGCAGATTCACATACAGCAACAGAGTTGTAAATGTATTAAGGTATACTGATGAATTAGGAGTGAATTTTAGAGAATGGGACATGGGGCATACATAGTGAACAGTAAAGTTATGGTGGATATATAAGGTGAAGTGCGAAAAATCGTGCGCTGTTATTGAGTAATGATTTCCGGTCAAGTTTTTTATATCAAGAGCCCGCTGATCCAAGCAAAAAATAGTAGCATTTACCCAATAGGAAAGGACTGATTCTTACACTATTATTATAATGAATACATGCTATCGTTATATTAGCTGCATTTAAATACACAAAGAGAACATTGCATAGATAAAGCATAGAAATATGAGCTATCAATTTCTTACTCAAGTAGATAACTGTATGTTAAGTTTCTTCTACAATTTAAGTAGAAAATTGAACGCTAATCTGGAGCAGTATAATTGAAAGTATAGGACCAACGAGATCTTGCTGCACCTCGAACTCTAGAGTCGTTTCTTGTTTCAACATAGTTCATGGGTAACTATTTCACCAAAGCTAGCTCACAGATACTAACTAAACATTTCGTCAAAACTACTGAACTAAACTATTTACTAGTAAGTTAAACTGCTCTTCCAATTTAAGAAGACATGATGTATTGGTAACAAACACCAAACTATCATCTTCACTTCTTCATTTGAAATTGTAAAGGATGTTTTTCAACAATTTGGTGCAAGGAATAAAACATGGCAATGCTTATGACTTGTTATAATTTTATTACGTTTTAACCCTACTTTGTGATAACCCTAGGTTTTAACCAGCAGTACAGTAAAATGTCTAATCTCAAACCGGACAAACTGCTCGATCTGATAATCAGCAAATGAGATTAGTATAATATCACTCTATGAAATGGGATATCCCTCGCCGGCCATCACCTTAAGTTCGAAGGATTTGAGGTCCCTGGCGAGCTGCTCCGCATTGATCCCCTCGCGCGCCAACAACCTGCAGAAAGCAAAGCCCAAAACCCTAAGTCCCCCGTAAACCCCCAACAACCGCCTACCCCCGACGAACCCGACGCGGAGAACCGCGCTGCGAGCCTCGCCGAGGCAAATCGAAGGGGGGCTCCGGGGAGAAGACACCGACCTGGTGGCGGAGAGCGACTGCACGGGCGCCTCGGCGCGCACCGTCTTGGCCTTGAGCTTGGTGGAGAGCACCTCCAGCTGGTCCAGGTTCCTCTGCGCGCGGGGACAAGCACACGGGGGAACACGTCAGGCGGAAGAAGCTATGGCGGCGGCGGAGGAGGAGGAGGCAGATGCGGGGGGGAGGAACGGGAGAGGAAAGCGGCGGCGCACCTGGAGGGGAGGGAAGTGCGGGGTGGGGGCGGCCTGCTCGAGGAGCTTAGTGGAGGAGTGGAGGAGCTCCGACCACCCGCCCATCTCCACGTCGCCGCCGCCGCTGCTGCTGCCGCCGACGCCGGCCATCGCCGCCGGGGGGCTAGGAGGAGGGTTTGGTTGGTGTCGTAGGGCGTGGTGCGGCGGAGCGGAGGGGGGAGTGGAGCGGGTTTTTCCTTTTTCGGGGGTAGGGAAAAGAGGGCTTTGTTCTTGTTGTAGATGGGCCTGGGCCTACCGGCTCTTGCGAATTTGTGCCCGATTCAGGTCAGATCGGCCCATCTTCTCTTCTGCATTTTTTTTTAATTATAAATTGTGTCTATGGTATACGAACTTGTGTGATGGTTGGAAGGCTGTGTTTAGTTCCACGTTAAAATTGGAAGTTTGAAGAAATTAAAACGATGTGATGGAAAAGTTAGAAGTTTATGTGTGTAGAAAAGTTCAATGTGACGGAAAAGTTAAAAGTTTGAAGAAAAAAGTTGGAATCAAAACAGGCCCTAAATCGGTACAATAACATGCAAATCGTTTGGCCCGGTAAAACAACTTGCTTCGTCAGTGCGAATTGGGGTCAAATCTCACAGTGAAAATTCACTTCACGTCAGTTTCCACGTGACACAGTTCGATTGCATATTGCTTTTCTCGAATGCGTCTATTCTTGTGGTGGTTGTGGCATAAAAACTACTCCATCCGTTTTAAAATATAGCAACCTTATACTGAATGGGACATATCCTAGTACAACAAATATGGACATACTCATGTGCAAGATTCATTATACTAGGATGTATACCATCCAGTATAATGTTGCTATAAGATAATTATTATGTAATGCAAAACTAGAAATTAAACATCACCAAAAAAAAGTTTGAGATTATTTGCAAAAGCTACCAGAACAGATGAAAACAAATGGAAGCAAGCTGAAACTAAATTGTGCTGCATGGAAACCAAGTCAGCGATATATCAGTTCATTTAGATTGTGACACCCGATTTGTCCTGAATCTTGATTCGCATGAATTCAGCAAGTTATTGTATCGGATTAAACGATTCGCAAGTTGTTATACCAATCTATACCCACCACACAACGCAAGTTAGTGTACCGTGGTGTGTAATTTACTACTCCCTCCATCACAAAATGTTTGACGCCGTTGACTTTTTTAAAAATGTTTGACCGTTTGTTTTATTCAAAAAATTTAAGTAATTATTAATTATTTTCATATCATTTGATTTATTGTTAAAAATATTTTTATGTATACATATAGTTTTACACATTTCACAGAAGTTTTTGAATAAGACGAACAGAAGTTTTTGAATAAGACGAACGGTCAAACATGTTTAAAAAAGGCAAACGCCGACACGCCTGCTCACTATGATATTGTGAATGTGGTGTATAGCATATGCGCTCTTAAAGAGATGAAGATCAGCAACAAATAACTAACCTTGCTAGATTCTTAAAATTCTTATTGAAAGTAGACTGGGAGTCCGCATTTTCGTTTTTGTTTCATTTTTGAAAAGCTTCTGCATGCTACTACGATGCTATCAGGTAATTGACAGTTCACCTCTCTCTCATAAAAATGAAATAGTTCAAACTATCATATCAAAAATGTTGTGTATAGGTTGACGTGAATTCAAGTTCAAATTAACAATAAACTTTCCCCGAGAAATAAGAGCAATGATTCATTCTAAAAGAAAGAAATAATATTGATTATAAGCATTAAAGGTGTACCATCTTTGCTGCAGTACAACTGGAAAATTCAGGTCACCATGCAACAGACCAATCAAAACACAAGATTTGCTTTGGATCGATGAGGAATGATTACACAGGTTGCAATTGAAGAAAGGTGTTACAATGGAAGGGGATGTCCTGAAATGCTAGAGATCTAAGCTTCCACTCAAATGAATCTAACACCAAATGCACCAGGGCTATAAGAATTGAAAAACAGAACCTAATGTACACAGGTAAACTACCTGAGCTCCCTCCACAGCCTATACAACCGATGTTCGAAAAATAATCCAATGACAATAAGTCAAGAAGAAATCAAGTTATCATCGCATGCCTCGTTTGCGAAACAGCGCATGGTAGCTGCTGAGGAGTATTTTCTCCATAACTGAAGACTCTGTCTATAAATATTACTCTTCAGTTCCTTTTCCTTACCGAGCACGGGCAGTGGATGGTTGTTTTGATGAGCGGCCAAACTTGTGTTTCCATTTCTGTTTCCCAACTGCAGAGAGATCAGCCAAAGGACCGGACCAAGTAGGAACAGAGCTTTTCTCTTGTGTAAATACAGTGCTAAACGAAGAGGGATCTTGGGGTTCGTATAACGGGTCCATGTGATTTGTAGAAACCAAAGAGACCGCACCATCCTGATGCGGAGGAGGAAACTTTTCACTCTTGCTTTTTGCATTTGCATGTGTTACTAATCTCCTTTTCTGTAAGATATAAATAAATGGGACAAATTAGAGACATTGCAAAATTTACATTAAGAGAGTGCCGGGCTCCATTTTGGGCCATAGTAAATCAAATGAGACCAGTATAGGTAAGACAAGAAAATAAAGTGGTGATAAAGTGTTACTGCGACGGAGATGAGACTAAGCAAGTGGTTTCACCACCTCCACCTTAAATTTAGATCGCTAGCCTAGTCTTTAAGTAAAACAGCTCAAAGAAACAAAAACTAAAACACTACTGGAATTAGTCAGGGAGCAAGTATGTTCACATACATCGATATTTATTTGAAGTTCAGCATTTGCCTCTGGAGCCGGTACTGCCCTAGGTCGATCGCGCGTCTTTGTCTTCTTAGCTCCATCATTAGTCCTACCGCCAGCAGCTCTCAAACTGTTGATCATGCCATGAATAGGTCAGGTAGCAATCAAATATTTCTATACACGCTCAACTCACATGAGAGCATGGACAGAAAACATGAATCAAACATCAAATATACTAGGATATGTGGGCATTTGGATCACTTAGTGAGCAAAAATTCTAAATAGCTGAGCCCAGATGGTGAGAGACTGACTATCAGCCCAACGATGAGGCATGTGTCAGACAAATTCTGTGAAATCCAGGGACATTAGTACCACAGCAGTATGTCTACTTAAAGTTTCACCTAAATCAGCACTTGCATTGCACTAAAATTACATTTGGGCAATGCTTTCATAATTTGATTATATATAACTTTGCTGCATGAACATTGTGTGCCATCTCTTTAGGATATATTTCTATGCTAATAATATTGCTTACGGGAAAAAAAAACATCCATATTAATACCAAATATCAACAAACTTTTGGTGAACTTTACTGTTTTAGCACTTATTAGTCATTTTCTTGTAATCCGACAAAAGAGAGTGGCTTCCATTCTTTTTATAAAAAAAACAAAAGAAAGAGAGAGTGGCCCTGTTATCTGAAGACAGCACTTTGTACAAATGTTTCTTTCGAAAATAGTGAAATTGTTTTTAGTTTATTGAACTATTCCATATGCATACCCAAATATTAGAATAAATACATGTTTTTTCTTGTCGTAGGTATTAAACCCGAGCAAGCACTCAAGTATCCAACCTAGGTCCCCAGAAAAATAATGTGCCATTTGATAAGCAACAGTTATATGTTTAAAGTTAAAGATGCTATTTCTCAAATGCCAATTTAAAAAGAAAGTGCTACAACCACAGAGTGTCCAGTACTAGAGAGACAGCCAAGGACCAAAGCGAATAACAAACAAATAATAAAACTAATGAGTATCAAGGTGACAAACCGTCTGGCTTCTTCATCTCTTCGTTTTGCATCCATTTCTTTGCTTGGAGGATATGCTGGGAGACTTGATGGTTCACATGCATAAGGTTCAGTTGTAAAGAACTGCATAGATTGTAATAAGCAATTCTTTAGTAAAAGTGTAAAACAATGCTACATAATTTCAACAAAGATGACAATAAACAGATCTACTTCACACATTATCCAGTGAGATATGTCATTCAAACCAAATGTATGCTATTGAAATTCGAAAATCAGACTTGCAGTTATAGAGTGCTACTATAGCCTAGATTGATAATATCTGGTAGGAAGATGCTTCCATGCTCTTTATAAATCAAAAAATCATACTTTATTAAGCAAATAGAAGGCCTAAATTGCAGCCACCTCTAAATAAGATACAATGGTCCAAATGAGATCACAAGCATCATAGTGTCATATTGCACAAAAGAATTAGTCATGTCATACTTCTTGGAATATGGGATAGGATGCAGAAAAAATATAGTGGTCATAATGCTTGCAAGTAAATTATTGGATATTGGCTAAATCTACACTAGTAGCTACCCAGAACAAAATCTAGCCAAAGCACCATGTTCTGAAACCCCAATTGCAAACTAAGTTATTGCAATGAAAACGTAAATCACCTACACCCAAGATTTTCTAAAAATATTGTGCTTATAGAGGGCAATGACTTTGAGGCAAACACAGAATCGCAGATTTCAGAACTTCAAACTGTGTCGTAAGACACCAAAGCCAACTTACATCACTTCTTAATGCAGAAGTCGCTGTTAAACGATCAGCTGGATCAATTGCGAGCAGTGTTTCAATCAATCGCAGTGCTGACTGTGGAAAATCTTTGTAAGTCTCTGATATTCGCCTTTTGTATGGTTGTTGAGGCTTAAATATTGTTGCATGAGGTAGCTTGGACTTTTTCCAATATTCTTCTGTGGGGGAGCCGCACAGCTTAAAAATTTTATGCAGCTGTTCCACCTAAAAGGGACAGATGATTATTAAATTAAATAAACATGGAACATAAATACAATTGGCATTCATTAGATTGGCTGGAATGAACAACATTACGTGCATGAACAGTGCAACAGGTCATATTGGATCTAGCATAATCTCAAGTACGAATAAAAAATATAGTACAAAATAAGGGTTCCTTTGGAACACGGGATTGAAAAAACGAAGGAATAAGAAAGTCACAAGATTGCAAAACACGGGAATCAGATGAGTGAGATAGAATCAAAAAGAAATTTTCCAAGAGGTTGGAGCTCTTGCTAATTTTCCTCCGAAATCTCCATAGGATTGTACATTCCATAGGAATTTCAAAGGAAAAGATAGGATTTAATCCTTTGTTTCAAATGCCTTCCTAGGATTTTTTCCAATAGGATCGAAATCCTCCATATTTCCTATGTTTTTCCTACAAACCGAAGGGGGCCTAAAAGTGTAATACGTTGAACATGTGGTACTACAGATAAAGTTAGAACTTTTGGTAGAGCAACGTTTCCAGTTTCCACATGAAAAGCTACTGGTTTTATCAACCACTATGTTTACCTAAATTGAAACTAGTTTAGCACTCCAAGGCCTCCGACCAAATTGAATACTGTTTCAAGGCATTTCAAACTGATAATTAGACAAATCAGCATGCTGTTGCTAACCTCAGTACGGCCTGGCATAATAGGCCTCCCAGCCAACAACTCGGCTAGAATACACCCCGCGCTCCACAGGTCAACGCCCACCCCATAATCCGTGGAGCCCAAAAGCAACTCCGGTGGGCGGTACCACAGCGTCACCACCCTGCTCGTCATCGGCTGATTCTTGTTGGGATCGAACAACGACGCCAGGCCGAAATCTGCGATCTTCAGCATGCCATTGTTATCCAACAGCAGGTTCGACCCCTTGATGTCGCGGTGCAGCACTCCATTGTTGTGGCAATGCTCCAGCCCGGACAGCAGCTGGTGCATGTAGCACTTAACCTGCATGTCAGCATGCCATGGAAAACCTCAATTAATTTCACGACATTGCGTGCTGGAACATGAGGCTGCACAAAGATCTTGGCGGGGGGAGACCTGTGGCTCGGTGAAGCTGATGTCGGGGCTGGCGGCGAGGCCGGCGAGGTCGTGCTCCATGTACTCGAAGACGAGGTAGAGGCTGCAGGACATGCGGGAGGTGACGAGGCCCTCGAGCTTGACGACGTTGGGGTGGTGGAGGCGGCGGAGGATGAGGATCTCGCGGGCCATGAAGCGGACGCTCTCGGGCTCCAGGTTGTCGAACCGCACCTTCTTGAGCGCCACGATCTTGCCCGTCGCCGTGTCCCGCGCCTTGTACACGTTGCTGTACGTCCCCTGCCCGATCTGCGCCACCGACAACACCGCGCGCTGTTGATGAGCTCAGCTCGCGACAATGGCGAGCGCGAGGGCGGGGGGAGCTCGTACCTTGTCGATCTTCTCGAAGGAGTCGGCGCGGCGAGGGGTCCAGCCGTCGATGGCCTCGCCGACGACGGCGGAGAGCCAGGCGGGCCAGCCGGCCGCCACCTGCTCCCCGCGCGCCCTGTTGGCGAAGCTCCCCCCGAGCCCGAGGCGGGCCGCCTCCGCGGCGGACCGCGACGACCGTGCGCGCCTCTCCCTCCTGGCCGGCTTCGGCGGCTTCTTCTCCTCCTCCTCCTCCTCCTCCTCCTCCTCGGCCGCCGCCTTCTCGGCGGCGACGGCGGGCGGGGGCGGGGGGTCGGGCTGCTGGGGGTGGTCGGGGGAGGGGGCGGAGGGGCGGCCGTGGACGCAGCCCATGGGAGGGGAGGGGAGTCGGGGGGTCACCGGCGGCGGCGGCGGCGCATGGGGTGGAGGCGAGTGGGGAGTGGGGAGTGGAGTAAAGCGGAGGAGTGAGGTGTGGGGGACCGAGCTGGATGCCTGGCTGGCTTGGTTGGCTGGGCTGCCCGTGGAGGCTTTGACTCTCTCGCTCGCTCGCTCTACGTGACTCTGTGCAAGTACAGTGTCAGCTCAGCTGTCCGTGCCGTGCTTCCAGGCCTATTTTTTTCATTCGTAATAATTTATTATTATCCTTAAATTAAATAAATAGTGATCCATCCGTCTCATGAGGAGTGTATTTTTAGTTTTTTGATACGACGTTTGGATTTTCGTCTTATTTAAAAAATTATGATTAGTAACTTTATACGTAACTATTTTTTTAAGTTTTTTTTATAATTTTTTAAAATAAAACGGACGGTCAAACGTTGGACAGAAACCCAAAAATATGTTTTTAGGACGTTGGACGGAAACCAAAAATATGTTCTTTGTAGGACGGAGGGAGTAAGTATTAATATGGATTTTCACAAACAGGATGGACACTGAACGAACGATGTCCAGGTGTAGACTATCTCATGAATGACAAAGGGTGTCCAGGATGATGCGGCCTTTGACTAGTTCAGTCTATCTGTCCGGTCGCCCCATCTACGATCTATGATGAAAGAAGAGAACACGAAAAAGTAATGAAACACGTTCCTATTGGGATATGTCGATGTGGGGCTATAATTGATTGGGTGTCGCGCGTGTCCTTTTACAGATCCGCCTTCAGTAACGTCATGCTGCTATCGTAAATTTGTACATACATAGTGAATAATATGATCTAGCTTTATCCTTCATGCCTTCATTCATGCATGGCAGAAGACACTTGCAATATAAGCTAGCCCATGATGTGCTCATGAGCATCGGTCAATCTAGTCGGCATCCGCCAATGATACAGGTGGATGTGAAAAATGAAACCTATCTACATGCAAAAAAAAAAAAGAAGTGCAGTGGCAAGCCTTTGACGATGACAGCGATGACGCGGACGGAGCCATGGAGGGCGTGGAGGCTGCCACGACTGGAGCGCTAATAAACGCACTATCCATATATGTCGGACGTGGAAGACATGTGAATGGTTAGGGCAAGCAGCCACTACATGACTTGCTTGTGATCATAAGTATGTTCGGTTCTGAATTGTTTGTGATACAACAAGTCTGACCCCCGCCATATGGTGGACGCCGTCGACAACAACGTCCACAGCGGGACGAAATATGTAATAGCATCCAAGACTAGACGTTGTTCGTCCCAGTATCCAACCTATTTTTTAAAATGAAAATTAAATTACTATTTATTTAATTCAAGGATTATTATTTATTATAAATAAGAAATTCGGGTTTTGAGGTGAACAATTTTATTTTCTAAGGGGCTAAAATCGTATTACTTCATCTATTCGTAAAAGACAACTAGCAGTACAGGACACATATTTGCTGACCTCACTTACCAGCTAGATCGATCTAGGAATCTGAAAGGACACAAGTTTCACGGTAATGTGTAGCGTTAAGTACCTGGGAAAGACACAAAGAGGATACATCCTCCACAATGTCGCCGCACACCTCTCTCCTCACAGCGCACGCCCTCATTTCGCTTGGAGAATGAGTATCCCATTTTAGCTCCATGTTCTTGGCATGGAAATGGTAGATGCGAACATGGTGTGGAATATTTTCTACGACATGCTCAGGCAAAATGACACATCGACGCATTGTGATGCCCAAAATAGGAGTATAAGCATTTTTAATGAGGTAGCAAAAGTCTTCTCTCTTTTTAACTAGAGGAGTAGAAGTAAAACAATAGTTTTTGGACACCGTTTATGTAAAATATTGCTTCCTTTAACCGTAAGGATGTGCATAATTTTTCATTTTTGAACTTTTAATTGGGTAAAAAAGCTATATCTTTTGGGAAATGTTAAATATGTTTAAAAAATATTAAGAAAAGTTAGTGTGGGATTGATTTTAGAAAATGAGGATAATTATTGATGTTGTTTCTTTCCTCCGGCTGTTTGTTTAGGGTATATTTAGATCCTTGGTAATTTTTTTCACCCTGTCACATTCTAATGTTTGGACATATACATGAAGTATTAAATATAGAAAAAAAAAACTAATTAAACAGATTGCGTGTAAATTGCGAGATGAATCTTTTAAGCCTAATTACTACATGATTTGATAATATGATGCTACAGTAAACATTTACTAATGACGAATTAATTAGGCTTAATAAATTCGTCTCGCAGTTTACAGGCGGAATCTGTAATTTGTTTTGTTATTAGACTACATTTAATACTTCAAATAAGTATCTGTATATCCGATATGACACGACAAAAAATTTCACCCTTAATCTAAGAACAGCCTTAGCCCTCCTTTATTCATGAGACAATGGTGATTACGAGCTCCTATACCTCCTACTACTAGTAGCTTGGTGATGTGAATTGATGGCAGCATCAAACCAGGTGAAGGTGGCATGGACTCACGCGTAGCTCGCCCTTGAGGGCTTGAGGAGGCAAACCTGACTTGCCCCTTCTTTCTTAAGACCCAAAGCTAATATATGTGGTTAAGTCACGTCACCTCAAATTACCATAGCCATTAGATGAAATAGCAACAGTTTAGATTGCAGTCTCTACTTAGCTTCCCTTCCATTAACAGTAGCCCAATATACATGGGCAAGCCCAATCCACTGCCTAGGCCCAATTCGCCCGTTCCCACTACACTGCCGAGCGTTTCCATCTACCCGCGCCACCTGAATAACGGCCGACGCGCCGGCTCCCTACCTCCCGCGCGCCTCCCCGCCTCCTCGAAACTGCTCGCCTCCTTGGTATTTGGAGAGACAGAAAACTAATCGTCGCCGCACATGGAGTAAAATTTCATTAGAAACCGTCTTCCACAGCATAACAGTCTTCTCGCATTACTTCGATTGGTTTCCTACTTCATCTCCGTCACTGGAAACGGCCTCTCCCTCCCATGAAACCTGGAGCAGCCCCTCACCTTTAAGAAATCACACGAGTATACAATCTTCTCCCAAAGGTCTGCTTCCTCCTCTTCTTGAATCACATATATGTTCATTCAATTTATGGCCTTTATTTCTTTTTCCATGGACGCTAGATTTATTTGTTCCTCTTGCCACTGAAGTTATCAAAGAATAGAAAAACAGACAGATGGATTTGGTTTTGTCCCTTCTTTATGTTTCTACTAGCAAGATTGAAATTTATTTGGTCTGTATACTTAAAGGAGTCAATTCATGGTATTTATAAGGTTTCTACTAGCCTGTTCATGGTATGTAAACCATTTTTTCAACTTTGCTGTACCTATAATTTGTTGTGTTTCTAAACTCCTATTGCAGTTCGTCCCTACACCTATTGCCTACTATCATTGTAGCAGCAGCTATGGGCTATTACTGAGGTCAGTACCCATAACATTCCCATCCAAAGCAGCGACTGATTGGGTTTTTCCATATGATTCCTCTATCAAGAAAATATCCCAATATATTGGTACCTCATATTCGTTCATGGTCACCGGCTTTCAAGATATTATTATATGATCATCCTACGATATCTTCTTTTCAAGATATTACTAAGCATTTCTTCTGTAAAAACACCGTCAGGATTTTCATGTATATACTATCATAGATTGCAAGTGCAAGGTTATGTGTGATTATTTTAACAATGAACTTAATTTAGGTACATATATTGGTTCCTGGATCTGTGCATGCTATCCTTCCTTGCTATATGATGTTTCTACTTTAAGTTCAGAATTGTAAGCTACAGTTTTGTGATTGATGTAACTTTATTCTTCGGATTTTGTTCTGTCTGAGGTTTCAATGTAGTCCAAGAATGTAAATCACATCAGCCAATGTGATCAACCACAAAACAGAAATGCCCTTGATCGCCATCGGCAGTAATGCATATAATAATTTGATTATCCCGGTGCTCAAAACTTTTTCTCGCCAACTTCTAGATCTCAGATTTTTTCCAACCCCCCATATGGTAAGTTTATTGATATTATGGTCATTAATTTCTGTTTATGCTACATATTGCTTTCTCCTTGCTTTCCGGAGTCATCCGTCAGATATCACATTTTCTCTTTAGTTCATTAAAATTGTATTAAGGTACAATGTTGTATCAGGAATAATTTCAGTTATATATCTGTTTAGTCAGTAAAATATATATGTGGTACTCAAGCATGAGGTAAAGCTGACCCTTTCAAAACATGAAAATATTTCATGGAATTGCACTTTGTTTTGTTGTTATTGCATATGTTCTACATGTTGCAGGCACCTACTTTTTGTGTCATCTTAACACGGTGTTTCATCTGTAGACTTGCTACATTGCTCCAACTCCACAGATCAAAGTTAGTACTTTAGATGGCAGCTTAATTAGTTTTAAGGCACTAGCCCTAGAGCTAAAAAAATAATTACAGTTTAATCTGCTTATTCCACTTAGACATGATTTATAATATAATTCACTTAAAAAACTATTTCCTTTAATAATCTAATCTATATATGCATTAGATTATACCACAACATCACCAATCTTTTGCACCCATGAATGGTACTTTGATGCTTCAGACTATCACATAATATTTCTGTACTATATGAATCATGTATTTTTCTTATTACACAAATGTACTTTTGATATAGTTTTTAAGTTTACACATATTGCACATGAGTATTCCGCAGCAACGCGCGGGGTATCATCTAGTATTCTAAATAAAAGGTGTTAATTATCTCCTGAGGTCATACTACTCTTTTTTTTAACAGGCCAAATTATCCAATAAATTTAGTGGGTTACATCCCATCCAAGTGCACTTTCAAGTCAACATAGAAATCTATTTAAGGGCATTTAGTTTTGTGCAAATACAAGCAATCCGGCTGAGTTTGAAAAGCAGGGGATCGAGAAGATACGTAAAACGAGACGATCAATTAGCACATGATTAATTGAGTATTATCTATTTTAAATTTTAAAAATAGATTAATATGATTTTTTAAAGAAACTTGTCTATAGAATTTTTTTGCAAAAAATACATTGTTTAGTAGTTTGGAAAACGTGCGCGTGGAAAACGACGTGTTTTCTCACTCAATGTCCCCTGAACGAACGTGTCCGTGTAGGAGGGTGAAGTCTTACTCTAAACCAGCGGCTTCTTTAGAACAAAAGAAATTTGTATGGTTCAAATCCTATAATAAAATTCATACATGCCCATTTGAAACAAACGAATAGCCATACCAAAATCATACGAAATTCCTTATATTTCCTCAAATCATAAGAATTTTAAAGGGTTTTCAACGTAAGATCCAATCTCTTGAAAAATCCAATTGTGTCTAACTCCCATCAGATGACAAGACTTATCTTTGTCTATCCATGTGTTTCTAAATTCTTACGTTCCGGAGGAAGCTATATATTTTGATGCATCTCTATGCATTCAGCTTTTGCTGTTAGAGTGCGTAGCCCGGCCCACCAACCGTGAGCCGTCTAGGTCACATTGGGTCTGCTACAGCATAGGCCTAACCGGAGCCACAACTTTAGGTCTTGTGTCTACACAACCTAAAATACTAGTCTGATGGGTAAGGACTGCCCACACCTTTTAAGTCGTGCTGTCCCATCATCAATTACCGATGTGTGACTAAACCCAACATTTGCAGCCTTGAAAAAAGTGCATATCAACCATTTGCTTTTTTTTCTGTTCTGAAATAAACCAACCTACTCCCTCCGTCCAAAAAAACTCAATCTAGGAGGGGACCCCTCCTAGTACAATGAATCTGGGTTGAGTTTTTTTTAACGGAGGGAGTATGTTCTGTCTATAGCAGACTTCCTTTTTCTGCTCTAAATTTTATTCTTTTTTTTTTTTTGCCTTTTGAGATATTGCGTTTGTCATTCATGTGTATCACTAAACAAATCTAACCTGCCACGCTCCTGTTGCCGGTGTTCGAGAAAAGCAAGACCACGAACATGTTACCTACAATAGAAGTAGGGTTGTGTTTAGTTCAACGCAAAGTTTAGATTTTAGTAGAAATTAGAGATGATGTAATTGAAAAGTTGTGTGTGTATAACAGGTTGATGTGATGGAAAAGGACTGAAGTTTGGATCCAAACTTTAGATTTAAACACAGCCTACTACGAGGACTTGTGCAAGAAAATGTTTCTGAGGTATTTGTCACATGTCAGTAACTTGGACTTGTGCATTTCGAGGTATTTGTCGCTGAGAAACTTGTTACATCTGTTCCCTTGCAAGACCAAGCTGTTAAGTCTAGTGCCACAATATACGGCTGTCAGGCAAAGCAGTTCACAAGTAAAGGCTGTGATTTTCATCATGCAGTTGCGTAGTTGCGTCTTGCGTCAGACAAAAAAAGGCTGTGATTTTCATCATGCAGTGTACTGGTCTGCTTTAAACCAACAACATGTGTATATGTAAAAAATCAGTTACTATTGGAACTTCGTCGATATTAGAGTCATGTAGCGAATCTACTTACTATTAAAGTAACCGCTGAGATAGGACTCTTAACACAACGAATTAGATAGGTCCTCCCAGTACGTAGTACATAACAAATCCAAACAAGAAGTTGTCTAGATTCATTGTATTAGAAATCTTATCTCAAGCTCGGTTGCTTTATTTTGGATGATAAGGGTAATAACTTTCATATGGACAGTGACAGTTCACGCATGGGATGCTTAACAAGTTGAACCTACTGTTGTACTCTAAAGCCTAAAAGGCAGTAGCTTTTTCTAAAATTGTTGTACGGAGGGGGACTTCTGCACTACAATAGAAAGTTGTTATAGCTAAAAAAGGCAAAACACAATCGAGTTCACTGATGCACGTTAATGATAAAGATTTAGTTAGTGGTGTACTGATCTAATGCACATCAATGATAAGATTTAGTTAGTGGTGTACTGTATTTCCCGGGTTTGGTTTGGTTACATAACATGTGCTTAAGTTGCTGTCCTGCAAGCTTCTTTTTGAAACATAAGGCGGAACTTCGTTCCACTTTTATATTTAGAAGAAGAGAATTGACCCAGTTTATAAGGATAACCGGACCCGAAAACCATACATCCGCATGGTTAATTACAGGAAAACCGGCTAAAACCCACCGCTACACTACTAACCATGATGGCGGAGCCCAAATGCAGGACGTCGTCGCCAAGCTAAACACAAAAGCCACCCAACAGCTCCCACACCGCAGAAGAGGTGTTATCGTTGCCGAGCTAGCCGCCCAAGCGACCCAGCAGCGCCGACTTCACAACCACAGCGACACTAAAGCCATGAAAGTCGCCAAAGCAAAAAGCAGCTCCGACATCCAACAATGGACATCAGCCAAGCCACCGAGGAGCCACTTCCTTTACACGGCCAGCACCACAACTCCTAGGAAGAGACTGCAACATGTCATCGTTGCCAGGCGTCACCGCACCCCATCAGCGAGTAGCTCCGACTTCATCTGCAGAAACAACCAAAGAGCGTGACACCCACCACGAGAAACAAAGCGGACCCAAGAAGGCGAAGGCCTCGCCGAACACAATGTATGAGAGCTTTTGAACCGAAAAGGACCATCAACAGTCGTCAATGTGTTGGAACTTCTCCGAAGCGACGCCCCAAAGGAGGACACGACGTCGTAACTCCGCCGCCGCCGCTCGTCCGAAGCCGGAACAAGGTTTTCACCTGGAGATTTGTGGGGGATATGAAAGAAACGCCATGACAACGCCTCCAAGAAGGAAAACGGCGCCCACGGGCGCCGTCGTCGTCGAACCGGCCAAAGGCACGGCAAGGCTTTCGCCGACGTCTTCGTATCACCCACACAAGCACCCCCACAATGACGGCCACAGAATAGTCCATGACGTCTCACAAGCATTCATACCTCGACCATAACGGCAAAGACAGGCCCTCCGGCGCGGAGGCGACGGAACTGGTCGCGGACGGCCAGATCCAGCCAGGGCGGCGCAAGCCGGCTCGACATCCGCGCCGCTGCAGCTCCGTCGTCGTCGCAACCACCACGCCGCCACAGCCTCTATCGCCACCGCTGTGACCCCGCGCGGACGGACGCCGACGCCGACGCCGCGACCGGCGCGAGCGAGCCGCCGCTGCCCGCCCACCGTGACGCCGCCCCTGCCTGCCACCATCTCCGCGTCGTCTCCAGCCCCGTTGCTGACCTCCCGTCAACACCGCGACCTCGGCGCAAGCCGCTGCTGCCCACCGCGAAGCCACCCCTGCCTGCCACCGGTCTTCGCACCCTCTCCAGCCCCGACGTTAACCTCTCCCCCGCCGCTAGCCGCCACCTCCCAGCGCCTCGCCCGGCCCGGATCTGGACGGGAACCTGGGCCGCCGGTGACGGGAGCGTCACCGGCCTGCGCGCGAACGTCGTCCTCCTCGCACGTCGCCACTTCCGCCGCCTCTTCCGCGCTCCTCGTTGAGCGTGCGCCTCCTTCCTGTCGCCACCGGCTGAGACGCCCGATCCAGCCGTGTGGGGACCGGATCCGGTCCTACCGACGCCGGATCTGGCCGCCGGCGACCGCTGCACCCGCGAGACCTCTCTCCGGTCATGGCATCGCCCCAGCCGCCGCGCCTGCGAGAGGAGGTAGGGAGCCTCGCCGCCGCTGTCATTGCGTCCCCCCGGCTTTGCCGGCGGGCGCTCGAGCGGCGGCAAGGTGGAGGGGAGAAGAGGAAGAGGTTGGCGGCGGCGCGCTCGTCTGGTCGCCGCCCGTGCCGCCCTGGGGCTGAGCGGCACGAGGGCCTTCTCTTAATTAGATTATTTCACGGAAATTTTTCTCCTGCAAGCTTCGACTCCTTCGAAATACAGCAATAGGAAATACAGAAATAAAGTATCGTATTGGTCGAAGCCTATAGGAAAATTTGGTAAAAGACATGTTTAGCTACTGCATATGAGAATCATAGGAATTTTGATTCAGACGATTAAAATAGACAAAATATATCAGAGCAATTCCAATAACATAGCTTTGCTATTAGCTCCAATAATATCCACATCAAGCATTTAAGTTAACTAGTAAGAGTAGTATATATACAATAGATAGCTACTCCATCCGTCCCAAAATATAAGCATTTTAAGAGTTGGATACGGTTATTAAGAAAGTAGTTAGAAGTAAATGGTGGAGGGTTGTGATTGATTGAGTAGTGGAGGTAGGTGGAGAGTTGTGATTGGTTGGGAAAAAAATGTTGGTGGAGAAGTAGTTATATTTTAGGACAAATCTTGTATTAGATCATCTACACACGTATCCGTATGCATTCATTTTTTTTATTTTTCTTTTAGTCTGTTTTTTTTCGGGTCATGCTTATCCTGTCCACTCGTTCTTTTCGAGAAGGAAGCAGTAGCCCAATGAAAACCATGCTGCTACTAGTCTTTGATCAAATGTCTGAAATACTTCAAAAAGTGGATGAATGGGAGAAATTTTGAAACATATTCTTGTAGTCCAACGAGCTTCACAGAACTATATTATTTTATAGGATTTCAATCCTTTAAAATTCCTATAAAATTCCATGGTCATAAGAGCATCCCTAGCAGCTCATCTATATTCTATCCTCCATATGCCTATTTGAATGGTCCTACAAAAAAAAATTCTCACTTCATATTTATTTTTACTCCAACAGATCATTCATATTACATCATCTATCCTATATTTTACTATTATCTTTCAACTGCCATCTATTTTATATTAACTCTTCTCTTCTCTCTTCTACTCATTTCTCAACTCTTCTCCTCTCTCGCCGAATCCCCTTCACCTCCACCACCCACCGCCGCCGCCATGGCCTCCGACCTGCTTGCGCCGGAGCACCAGGTGGCGGGGCACTGCGCGTCCACCGACAAGCTGGCAGGCGGGCAAGGGGCGGCGGCAAACGACCGGAGGCGGGCGGAGGAGCCGCGGAGGAGGCAGGCGGCGGCGAGCGGGCGGCGGTGTCAGGCGAGCGGCGGGGACGGCGGCACGGGCGGCTAGATCCAGGTCTCCTCCCCTCCGCTCCCCTCCCCTCCGTTGGCCGACGGCGGTCGAACGATCCCCTCCGCTCCCCTCCCCTCCGTTGGCCGACGGCGGTCAAACGGCGAAGGTAGCCACCGGTACGTCCTCTCTTCTCTCTTCCTTCACCCTTCATGCTCGATCCAAATGGGGGCAGGAGAACCGGATGAGAGCGGGCGTTTGGGGATGGCGTGAGGAGAAGCGCCAAATTTGGCACTTCTCTCTCCGTGTTTGGCGATCCGCCAATTTTGGCGCATCTGATGGAGCCTCTGCTAGAGCGATGTTTTTCCCCTCCATGCACCAAAAACGGGATGGTGGCTCTAAGGAACTCAAAAGTTGAGCCACCTATAGCGCATCATGCATACTAGACGGTACTGCCTTGGCCAGCAATCTACAGTCTTAACAGATATACAGGAAATACCAAAGACCACTTCAAATTCAGAAGAAAGAACATGAACTTCACTGTAGGGAAGTAAGAACCTGAAAGACCTTAACAGCCATTGCAATATTGCACGAACAAGACCCTCCCGGCCAAAAGGACCAAAAATTTCAGTTCACATAGAACGAGCAAGCACGACATGTTTCCCTATTCCAAAATTTAGTACTACTAGGTGCTTCAATACAGTTCCACTAGTAAACAAGTCTCAAGTCTCAACAGTGGTGCCTATACTATGGCTAACAGGCATGGAACAGACCCGGCATGTTCCATTTTACAGAACAGCGAGTTTTCAACCCAATGCTACCCAAGATTGTCTTTCTCCAGTGTATCCCTCATTCATCACCATGCTTTTTCTTCTTTTTCTTTTTGTCTTTCTTACCAGACGCTTCGGTTTCCATGGCAACATCCTTAGCATCTTGTGAATCAGATTTCTTCTTTTTCTTCTTCTCCTTCTTCTCACCTTCAGCGGTGGCTACAGGTGGCTCCTCGCTCTCCTTGGACTTCTTTTTCTTTTTCTTGCCGCCATCAGCATCGGCCACAGGAGAATCCTCGCTATCTTTGGACTTTTTTTTCTTCTTTTTCTTCTGACCCTCTTGGTCACCATCCTCTTGAATGGTTTCCTCTGCACCTGCAGGCTCCGCCTCTTGATGTTTCCTCTTCTTTGAAGCACCTTCAGGCTTCTTTGGTGTTTCTTCAGTGGATTGTCCAAGTACCAGATCAGCCGCAGGATTGTATGTCTGACAAATTCAGGTGCCATAATCAGGTTGAGATGAATTCTGAATTAGATGTTTGCCCAAGTAAAAGTAAGCAAAATACACAAGACAGCTTTTACAGTGACTGGACAAAACGTTAGGTGCAACGCAGTCTCGAAAATTAGTAAGTTTCTTGAAGAGTGGCCAAGATTAACAGAAAACATTAAGCTTCCTCAATATATTTTCAAGACAAAAATCAAGATACTACCTACCTTGGCAGGAGTGATTAAAGCCCCAGCACCCTTCTTCCGGTCCTTTTCATACACTTCTATCTTGGGCTTTCCCTTAGTAGAACCTGCAGACCTGCCAAGTTCTTTACCCTCAAGAACCCGAAGCCGTGTCTCAAGCTGCCCAAATGGATCTCATGTCAATCCAAGGAGTCAGACAATATTATGGATAAAGAAAAGGTATTTCAGAAAGTACATACCTTGACTCGACTCTCAAGACCAATGGAGTTATCTTCACCATCACCAAGGGCATCATACCGAATGGCAAGAGCAGTTTTTGCAGCAAGAGAACGAGAAATCTTCCCCTTGTGCTTTGGAGCTGCTTGACCAATTAAGGATGCATGGTAGATGAGACCATACTTTGGCGTAGCATGCTTTGTCTTTAGAGCTCTGAACAAAGCCTGGAGGGAAAGATTGTGTTACTTATTATTTTTGTGGGAAACAAATTATAATACACCGCAAAAAGCTACTCCCTCCGTCCCATAATATAGCAACCTAGTACAGGATGGGGGCATATCCTAGCATTAGGGACCAAGTACAGGATGTGTGAAACATATTATCTCCCAGACATAGACTGAAATATAAGATCAAACAAAGTAAAATCACAAACACCACACATGAAGCATCCTTTCCCCATGTTACTAGAAAACAAACCCATACTTCCATTTACCTATTTTGCATCAAGTAATCTGAGTGGAAAATGGTTAAATCTTTCAAGAATAACAAATAGCAACTGACCTTCTCTGCACCAAGTATCTGAATTGTGCTGCCAGGCTGCTTGGCCAGATTTACCAAACTGCCGCCATGTGCAATAAGTCGAGCACCAACCAATTCGCCAACAAGTGCAGTCAAATTTGGTGCGATAGTGTTCATCCTGCTTCTCAGATAATCAAACAGCTGGGCTCTGTACTCAGAAAGAGCCAACACCTGATCACACAGCTCCCTGATATTTAGCAAGTCAAGTTCACTAACTTCTGTTCCCATGGATATTACTGCCGCCTCTTTTAGCTGTGCTTCAACCTCATCATCTGAAAGTATCTGAAAATAGCATTTGCTTCTTAATAAAGAACCAGTTGTGGTGGATACTCACGGCCATTACATTCTGATCACAAATGTGCAGAATTTACCTCAGAGAAATCAAGGCTTTCTGCGTTAGTCCGATCACCCATCATCTTCACAACTTTTGCGTACTGTATGTTATCAGCTACAATTTTAGTGAGCTCTGGAAAGTGCCACCCATACCATTCACGAACCCTCATGGCATAAGTGTTAAGCTCCTTGTCAAGATCATCCAATAAGCCAATGGCCTGAATGATCATAGTATCAACCTGTATAATCAGAAACAATATAGTGTTTACCTCAGTTACCGTCCCATGAAGGGGTTATGTACAAATTAAAAATAGTAAGACCTCTTGTATATCCATTTGATGCTGAACTAAATAATTGCAGGTGCGAGTTATTCGTTATAAAGTTAACAGAAACATAAGAGTAACAAATTGAGCATGAAAACTAACAAAAGGAAAATGATTGAATCATATGACTCAGAGCCAGGGAGAAGTACTGAATAACATGTTCAATAAAAGCGAACGGTAGGATAAATAAAAGCTCACCTTTTCAGGACTGAACTTCAGCTTATATCTAGACAAACTGTGGGACAAGCCAAGGCTCATTGGACCAAGGTCTTGTGCACCCAAACCAGAGATAAGTTCAGTGAGCTGGTTTCTTAACCCTCTCATGAGCTCCATCACAGCACTATTATGAAGGCAGTCAATTTTCTGCAAAAGCACGTCAAATTATAAGCATGATTGGTTGTTCTACATAAACAAAACAACCAGGAGCCTAACTAACCAGCTTCTCCTTTATAGCATTTCCAAGTTTAGAGTCAGCCACAGCTAATGTTTCACCCTCACAGTGCTTCTGCAAGAACTTGCGCAAACCCTTGGTAGGCTTGCTGTCAATAATGAGGGTTGCAGCAGAAAGGGCATCAGATGTGTTCTCAAACTTGTTGAAAGCCTTCAGCTCAACCACCTAAATATAGTTGATTTGTTTTGTCAGGAAAGAAAATCAACTGAAAAGAACAAAATAAATAGCAGTAATAGGAACAAATGGATAGACTCATTGCAATTCGGCGTAAAGTAACATGACTTCTGTACATGACAATGTTCTCCACATAATGTCATAAACTCAATGTGCACAAATTTATTTGTCGAATCAATCTATAGACATCGGACGGACAGAATATGTGCACAATAGGAGGCAAACTAAACCATTACATCTCTCTCCCCTGATAACCATAACACATTGGAAAGGAAATTACAGTTCAGAACATGGTAGGATTAGTCAGTTTTTTTTTGTTTCTCGAAAACCACTTTGCATCTATCAAAATCATATCCCCAATTAGCAAGGCAAAATCAGCTAAGCTAAAACATATGTAGTACTCACCAACCTACAGAAGCCATTGGTCCTTG